AAAAAAAAAAAAAAAAAGCCTCATACTAATACCATAAAAGTTAAACTGCTGCAAACTTCTAACTGATTGCATGTGCAGTCAGTTAGAATTCAGTTGTAAAGTTATGATAGCACATGTGCGCAAATATGTGTATGCTAAAGTCTTTTTAACAAGGTTTCTTCTTCACCTGCCAGCTACAGTAGTTATATTACCCCTTTGTTGGTCACTAGGCTGAGTGAGCTTTGTTATACCAAGGCAGGTTCAGCAGTGACACTTAGCTGGAGACAATATGAACTAGAATTACCGCCTCGTGGTTGTGTGCCTCTGCCAACCAGAGAAGATGCAGGGAACATGGTTACAATCTCCCCCTCCTGAGTTACAGCATTGAATAATGGCCAGTGTTTTTTCAGAACATTATCATGTCAAAGTGAAGTTGACCTTTGACCTTCGACATCATCACTTTATCCTGTTAGATATTTATGTTAAATTGTGCCATAACTAGCATGTGAATTTGTGAGTTATGGCCAAAAAAATGTTTTGTGAGGTCACAGTGACCTTGACCTTTGACCTAAATCGGTTCATCCTTGAGTCCAAGTGAATGTTTGTGCCAGATGTAATGAAATTCCCTCTGAGCATTCCTGATATATTGCAATCACAAGAACCTGAGGTCACTGTGACATTGAACTTTGACCTATGACCACCAAAATCATATCAGCTCACCCTTAAGTCTAAGTGAATGTTTGTGCCAAATTTGAAGAAATTCACTCAAGCCGTTTGTGAGATATGGCATTCACGAGAATGGGATGGACAACCCGAAAACATAATGCCTCCGGCCCCGACTGTCGCCGGCGTGGAGCCATAAAAATCTGATTGAATTTAGTTGACTCAGTGCTGTGTAGATCACCAACCTGTAACAACAACCTTTCTAAAATATGATTAATGAAACATTAAATCTTTCCAGGCGTTTTCCAATTCAGCGTTTATCCCCCAGAGATTTACAGAGGAGACAGAGGCTGATTGATGTGGGGAGTCGGGGCAGAGGTGGCAAAAGTTCTGAGAGCTGCTGGACCAAAATTCAAATGGGCCCGAAGTCAAGCAGCAACTATTGTGAAGATCAGAGGTCTGCATCTGAACTCTGCAGCTCAGCTGTTGACCACACTGGAAGGTAAAAACAAAGACCACATTTGTTCAGTGAGGCTGTGTCTAACAGGCCATACAGTCACACCAGGATACATTACTGTAAGTGGCAGGTGTAAACCTTCAAAGGGCTGACTTTGTCTGTGCTGCTGTCGCATTGAAAAACAGGAGGCTGTCAGACTCAGACTATGATTGTGTGGCACAATTACAATTAATTACAATGTTCAGGACAAGCACTATGCAACATGCACAGGTAGGGAAGAGAGAACGCTACAAATTGAAAGTTAATATCTTAATGAATATATCTTAAAGATCACCCTGAAAAGCTAAATCCAACACAGACATTTAAGAACAGCAATTGCCCAGCTGAACAAGAAAAGACAATGAAATTAAAACCGCTCCTAAACTGATTAAAACTGATCGCACAACTTGGTTCAGCACATGCTGCTTCCCTGTCTGTCTTCGGTCTATGCGGCGTTTTGCAATCTGATGAAAAATATCAAATCTTGGCCACTAGAATCAAACACACAATGATTGTTCTCTTCCCATTAGGGAAACTCAAGGCTGAAAACACAACAAGGACTATTGTCCAATCCAGGTCAAGCATGGGAGAGTGGAGTGTAGGTAGCACACACAGAGTACTGTTCACTGACAGAGAGAGAAAGAGAGACAGAGGGAATATGTGTTATCTAACCCCCCTTTTTGTTCTCTTTTATTCCCTTCAGCGAGCAAAACCATCCCATACCAAAGGATTCCTCTAATCCAGGTGAGAGAAAGGCTCCTTAATCAGCCAATGATGAATCAGGATTACATGTTACTAAAGTGGCTTACTACTCCTGGAGCTCATATCAACAACTGAGCCCCACTTTATTCCTGCAAATGGTGTCTGAACATTTATGGATGACGGAGTACTCAGAGATCAGCAAAGTGTTGATTTCAGTAGTTTAGCAGCTGTCAGCCGTTTTGAGGAGAGACAGCATCCTCCTAATGTTTTGAGTACTCCACTATTCCTCTCAGCGGGACTATCAGATGCATTGTTTTGATTTATATCTATAAAATATCAATACAGGAGTTGGGGAGGGGAAGATTAGCATTATACATAATTTATGGAAACCATATGCAATCACAACAATTAATGTACTTGTGCTACTTATAAGAGACATGGATGAAAATTTAATTCTCTACTGTACATGTGTTTAAAGCACAGACACCATGATGTGGACGGCCATGCAGTGTTCACTGGCTCTGGAGCAAAATGCAATTAATGTACGTTATTTATAGGCTACAGAATATACAACACAGCGATGCCTAGACATGCAAGCACCATGAAGTACAGCTATTGGCCAGCTGGCAGCTCAGCTGACTTTATAAGCGTCAGGCAAACGGTGAAAGACACAAAGTACAATCACCATACAGGGCAAGAACGTGGTGGCTGAGACGACTGTCACCACCACAAATCAAAATCCCCAAACCTCCTGGCCTTAAGTATGAGCACAGGCAAATCATTCAAATGATGCGCTAAACTGTTGGTGTCTGAGGGCCTGTCAGCGAGCCTGCCCGCAGGTCTGCACTTGACTTGAGTGTTTTTACACAGCATAATTTATGTCAGAATAATAAGCTGCCATGGGAGAGGATAAATACCTAATAAGCTGCCTTGTAGTGCTTTAAGAGACTGGAAAAAATAATAGCAATAATAATAATGTCTCACAGGGGATCACAGTCTTGGAATGACAGCACAATGTAACGAAAATTACTATTGGTAGTGTAATAGAAAATAACAACAAACATCACTCACCCAAATGCAACATCGTAGCTCGTCGGTCCAGCGATATACTTATTTAAAATAAAGAAGCTGCTTAGCCCAGATAGCTAGCTAACTCAATGATAACAGAATTTTTTTATTATTATTATTATTATTATTATTATTATTCCTATAGCTATTTACAAACGTTATTACACAAGATTTACAATGGGCTTTCTGCCTACAAAATTATTTTACACCCACTGAAAAAATACATTTACAAAAAGCTTTAGAAAAAATTCGCGGGTCCGTTTCTTTTTCTCTTTACATTTCATACGCTTGCCGCGGTGCTGTCGACTTGAAAATCCCCACCGGAGCCGTCGAGCCTCGGTCTGTGTGAGAGACAGGCACAGAGCACTTGGTGTACGTGTTCCAGTTCAGACGATGCTCGTCGTTGGTTCACAGATTTTCCCACTCGCTGCTCGGTGTGTCGCCAAGTTGTGCGACTGGCCATTCATGTGTACCCGAATAATATCAGTAACTTATGTACATAATTTACAACGCACGACTCCGACGGCCTTCAGCAGGTTCTCGTGTGTACTGAGGCGCTCTGCCTGCCCGTTCTCACTTGCCACAAGGCTCATCATCATCATCCTCAATAAAACCGGCAGTTAGCTCCCTCCACCGCAAGAGGGCAGCGACGCTACGTGTTTATACCAACGGCTTGTTATGTGACTTTGATGCTGCATTCACTGCTCCTCGTAGGCTTCAGCTTCAGGTCAGCAGCTGTTGTCATTCAACTGCTTTCCCATAATTGACAATAACTAGCCTGCAAATTATGCTAAAACACTTTTTATGTGTGTGTGTGTGTGTGTGTGTGTGTGTGTGTGTGTGTGTGTGTGTGTGTGTGTGTGTGTGTGTGTGTATGAACATCAGTGGTAAAATAAAATAAAATACTCCATTACAAATCCTGCATTTCAAGTCTTACATTAGTAAAAGTACAGACTTACTATCTGAAAAATGTACCTAAAGTATCAAAAGTAAAAAATACTTGATGTAAGCAAGTTTTAGACTGTTATACAGTATATTATTTTGGATTATTATGAATGCAGCATTTTACTGTTGTATTTGATCGAGATGGAGCTAATTTTAAATAATTTATATACTGTAGTTTATTCTGTAACATGACATGACATCTTCTATGCAAATTATGCTTTGTATGTTTAAAAATGTAACGAGCAACTATAGATACCCAATGATAGGAAGTGGATAAAAAGTACAATATTGCCCTCTGAAATGTAGAGTGCAAGTATAAAGTAGCATAAAATGGAAATACTCAAGTAATGGACAGGTTGCTCAAAATTTTACTGAGGTACAGTACTTGTACATATAGGCCTGCTTCTTTACTTTCCACCACTGGTCAGTGTTTAAGTATGGAGGCATCAGTGTGTATGTGTATATATGACCATATGTCCACCTTTTTTTGTGAGATGTGGATTCTGTCTGTGGATTCTGGATTCTATCCTGGGACAATAAAGACTATATTTAGTTACCACATTTTACTTATGCCTATAATGTGCGTAGTACAGAGTATAGAGTTCAAGTCTTGCTGTTGTGTCACTTAATTCCCACAAGCGGAATAAATAAATCTAATGTATATATGTATATAAAATAATCTAATTATACATATATATGTATGTATATGTATATAGAGAGAGAGAGAAAGAGAGAGCGTTCTTGAGAACATTAAACTCTTTCTTAAACATACAAGTCGAAATCACAATTTTTCTAAGAGCACTTGAAGGCCCCATAACACATTTCAATGGAACAATGAAATTCATCGTGTTTGTCATTGTTATGCTAGTCTACCGATTCAACGGGCGACACGGTCCTGTGCTGTGGCTCAATTCACTGTCAAACCTGAAATCTTCCACATTCAGTCTGCAGCCTTTATCCCCACCAAGGCATATGCTTAGTGAAGCACATGCCTTGAGCAGAATGAACTGAGTAACCCCTGTGAGACTTTGACTTTTTTGTCGCCATCTAGTGAATTTCTTCAAGTATGACAGTGGACTTAAGACCACTCAGGACCCAAGGGAATAAAAACACAAAATAATATACCGACATTTTTTTTATTCGTCAGCATTGTCACAATATAAACACAGACTGGATGCTTTGTAGAAAATCTTTACACTTAGAGGTTACATAACTTGATCCAGACGAAATTCTAACAATTTATATAAAATTATCTTTTTGTTTTTAAGCATCAAACTCTTCCTTCATGGTAGGCTTGCAAGACGCCAGGTGGATACATTCAACATTTTTAAAAAAAAACAGCATACACAACCACACATTTTGGTTGAATCTTTTAAACAAAGCACTCAGTGGAAAGATGCTCGCAGGCCTGAGACAACATTAAAACCATGGGCAGTGTTATGATGAACAGATGACAGTTAATCTGCCTGGCTGTGTTTTTTTTTTTTAAATGAAGTATTAAAATAAATAGGTTTATCAAAAGGAAATGGCCAACGGCAAATTTGTCTAAATAAATCTGTAAACACATGGCAAGCAATAACTGCTGCGCATCAAGTTCTAAGGAAACAATGGCAGCTAACACTATGCATATCAATATCACGGAATCATATACATCACAGGATGAAAATATATTAACGTATTTAAATATAAATCTGCACACAGACCTGGATCTTAGAAGAACTTTAAACTACTAGAGTACCTCAAATGTTTTCCTTGTGCTGATCTGGGTTAGGTTTCCCAATGCCTTAGTGTGAAACTAGTTTGGTGTGTCTTTTGCCTGATGAACATAAAAATTCCTGTTGCTCAAGCACACATAATGACACCCTACAGTCAGCCTTGAAGAGAGGAAATATATCACCTCCTACAATGGCTTTGGAAGACCTACTCCAGGTGTTCTCATTCACTAGTCACTGTTAAACTTTGGTCATCAAACATTTGGCCTCTCAAGTTTCCCTTAACCTGACACAAACATTTTCCTTTATTCTACAACATTACTTTAGTTCAAACGCAGCTCACAAAGCTTAATGCACAAATCTTCAACAACAGGTTCCAGCAATTTTAAATAGATCAATTCTCAAAACAATCTTTGAAGTCAGCTCATGCCTCTGCCATGATCAGGAAAACAAAAGGTTATGTGGCCCAAATCCTGGATGGTGACAGGCATTCAGCAGGTCCTTGGCTTTCTAACAGTCATTTGGATCCACTGCTGCTACTCCAGGTGTTACTGTGCTGTATGTGAGGGAGCGCTGTGCAGAGTTATCCCTCCAGGGGTGGACGAAGGGGAATACAGCCATCCATTTCCAGAGACTCGGGCCAACCTTCATACTTGTTGCTGCTCTTACTGTTTTTCATACGCTAATGGGAGCAACCAGAGGCACACGAAGCTGATTTTAACCAAACACACTGGGATCAGGTTCTCACGGCATAGCAGCTGCTCATATACTGAATGCTGAACACACAATTAAAAATTTCTACTATGCTAAACCTGACTGAGTTTTCAAATTCATATTTTTTAGCAGTCTAATGTGGCAATTTAATGATTAATATTCATTGTGGATGAGTATGAGTGAGAGACAAATCAGCAAGAATGTTTTCCAAAGCCTGTGCTAAAGTCGTTAGATTCATAATTTCTCACGTTCCGATAGGCACTTTAATTTTGTGGCCTAGGAGGTTGAAAAAAAAAAAAAAAAAAGGTCTCAAAGTGAATCCAAACATCGGACTTTTTGAGGACATTTAGGCTTTTTTTTTAGATGTCCGTTAAGCAGTTAACTGTAAGCAGATCAGCGTCACATTAAAGCAGCGGATCCATTCTACCCTCAGAATTTGTTCAGTGTAAGTAGTTACTTGATCATACCTGCTCAAAAGGACTCTTATTCTCGATGCCTTTGGCTCCAACAAACACCCAGCTGTCTCTGAAGGCCAGCTCCTTCACTGCCGTGCTCCCAAGCTCCTCAAACAGTCGTCGAGACTCGTCGTTCAGCCTGCCACCGCAAATGAGGATAAGGTGACAGGTTAATGTTTATTAAGTAGGTTGGCTGTTCTTCTAAGCAAGAGGCTTACGGGTCATCCATAAGTGCTTCACCTCTGTTAAAAGTTTATGTTGAAATTAAATGCAGGCTCTTACCATCTCTCAGTCGGCTACTCCTGGGCTTTATCAAAGTCTCGACAGCACTTCATGGTTTAGCTGAGGTTTAACCACTTTATAACTCTGATAGGTTTTTATACCATAGGATATTGAGGACATGAGGGAAGATTTGATGATTATGCTCATTTTGTTTCACCTAATGGCATTAAGTGTTCTGTAACTAATGTGCGAGCCACCAGATGTCAAGTGAATGTAATATTAAAATAAAATCTTGACTCCTGACACCACAAGGGCACACTGTCACCCACAGGCCATTTTGTCTTCAAATTATCATTCTTGACTGCACTGCTAAACTCCTTCAGTGATAATTGGAGCTTTTGCTCTTTTGGAGTGCTAAATGTCAGAGACAGCTGTCCCAAATGCACATTAATACATTTGTAGCATTTTGTTGAGCCAGTGAATCCTCATGTTAACTGGTGGCTGGTATGGCAACTCTAACTAGCAAAATGTTTTCTGTGCTTTAATGCTATATTCTTATTGTGCACAAGATTTATTTTTCAACAGATGAACTGATAGGCACCAGCTTTTGGTTTATAGAGCTGGCTGGACATTGGCTCCGCTGTTACAAAACCTATTTTCTGTAGCAATGCCATACAATTATTTTATTCCACAAAAGATTTTATGAGATGAAATATCCAGGACCGACAATTTATCTATGAAAATTGCTTTGAGGTGTTTCTAAGAGGAAAAGCGAGGGGTGTGGAACTGGAACAGATATCACGTCATGGATTCTTACTTTGTAGCTGGATCGTCAAAGGAAGCCACGAACACGAGCGTTCCTTCATGGAGCGGCCGCAGAAACTTCAACAGGTCAGAAACATCTGAGAACGAACATCAGATGAGCTATGAACTGTTGTTTATGGATCGTTATTGTAGACAGACAGTATGTACCAGATGTGAAACATGCATTTGTGTCTGGTATTTATTACCTCCCGCCCACATATCAAATGTCTTTGTGTCCAATAGCTCTCCTGTTACCCCTGAAGCACAAAATCATCAGCCAGATGTTACAGGAACAAAATTAACAAGAACTTAAAATATCAATACCAGACAGTCTGTTAAAAAGGTCAGGAATGTCACTCCTACCATTCACCAAAGCTATGTTTAATCCTCTGCCAACGTTGTTCTTCACACTGCTCACCAACCTGTGACAGACGCACACAAGAGGTTGAAGCACTAGCTGAGACGCTTCAGGAGAACACGTCCCTGTGTTGCACATACACATTAATTAATCTACACACTTTAACACACTGCCTGGCACTTAAGGAGCAACAGGAAATACAAAGAGACTACAGACAAAACCAAAGAGATGACAGACAGACGGTCTGAAAGAATACTTGCATTCAGCTCCCCAGACAGACATGTAGGCCTGGTTATGACAGCACAGAGGAAAAAAGGAACAGAGAGTGAAACAAAAACAAAACAAACAAACAAACAAACAAACAAAGGAAACAGTAGGGGAGATAAAAACATAGATGAACAGAGAGGAATTGGTAACCACTGAATCTCACATCTTGTCCTCGAGGCAGATTTTGGGGCCGATGACGTTGGCAGCACCAGACACCAGGCGGAAAGCCAAATGTTTTGGGGGACAGGGGGCTGAAAGTCCACATTTATACCTTCGAGGACGGGGTTCAGCTAAAATATATGAAACATTAGTTGGCGGTGACAAGGAGGAATATAAGAATGCAACATTATCAATGTGATGCGTGACTGGAGAGTCATTTATACTGTTTCCTGTATTTACCAGGTGTTGGTTCCTCACTTGCACCTGAAAAAATAAACAAAAAGTTTTAGACCCAAATTGATTGACTTATATCAGGAAAGCTTTGTTTGATTATTTTATACACAGACTCTGTCAAAAATTCATCAAGATGAACCCAATGTTCATATTCAATAACTGTCAGTAGAAACTCAAAAGTGAAGTTATGACTTGAGTTTCTACTGACAGTTGTTGTCAGTTGTTTGGCAGTGTATTCAAAATGCAAATGTGTCTGTTGAGAAAAGCGGTTCTGTAGTGCTGTTTGCCTCAAAGCAGAAAAACTGCCAAACTCGTCAGATTTAGCAGCTAGAACCAGTGAATGTTCAATACATTTTATGTCAATTACCTAATCAATTAATTGTTTGAGAACTACTTCTCTTACCGCTGAAGAAATGCCGCACAGATGTACCACTCTCCCCTCCAAATAAAGTGTTAGCCAGCAGCCAGGTGAGCCCCACCAACAGCAGCACAGCCACAACTCTCAGGGGGCCTGTCAAGGGAAATAGGACACACCAGTTCAGATAAAAGACACATGGGATTACCACTGGACCAACAAGTTCCCCCTGGAATGTGATGCAAATTTAAACCCACCTGTTAGTCTCATGATTCACCGTTTCATAGACCTGGAGAATAAAAGAAAAAAAAGGAAAGTGCAAATATCTCAATTTTATACTTATGTAGTAGCTGGATAAATGTACTCTGTTACCATGATATATTTTTTGTTTTTATGTAACTTTATAAAGTCTTGTCTTGAACGAAGACAGCGGGTATTTTCCAAAAAAGGCTTTTGTGAATAATAAATGTAACCATTAAAACCTTCGCAATAAAAGTATTTTGTGGTCACTTCATTCAAAGTTTAGTACAGCATCTTTATATCTTCAACAGAACCCTCTCAGTTTTTTTTTTTTACAGCGACCGAGCAAGATGGCTCTGAAGAGATGACGTTTAAAAGGGATGACATGAACTCAAACTCTCGCAAAGATAAGACAACAAGTAATAATCCCGTTAACGACAGTATTAATCACTTACTCGTGTAGTTAAAAATGAGAAAGGACAGGTCTTACCTGCTGTGTCCACGCTCAGCCGAATATCGCCTTTTCTTGATACCTGTAATGAAGGGTACAAACGAGCTGTTGCTCTTGTCACTCTGGACTTTGATTATTTCTTGCGCTGTTTCCTCATTGAGACTTTTATGGGCTTTCAATAACCTCAGTCCACCATTTACACAAGTGTTATTACTGCACTTTTAACATGCATGGGAGAAAATGTATGTTTGGTATATTACATCTGTCTTCCGGATGTATTGTCAACCCCAGTCCGGGACAACAGAGTTTGCGCAGGGAGGTTCACGTGACCGAAATTTAATTTTATGCTGCGTTCACGAGCTGTCGGCAGAATGAGACATTAGCAAAAACTCCCGATATTCTTACTTTGGAGTGTTCGCGCATTGTTCTAAAAGGTTACCTCTTGTACTAATGCTGTGCCCGAAATACAAGCCTAACCTAGATACTCCTGTTGTATTACGTATTTGTAGCAGTTCGTTCCCAAGTGAAACCAGAAACAAACAGTGTATAACTACTATTAAATTAGTTGAATGTATTACATTTTGATGCAACTGATAGCGTTATGGCATTTCAGCCATTCTGTCAACAGTTTGTTGACATGTCTGTAGTTCTTTTCAACCTCGTGAGGCACATCATCTCTGACATAAATTCCCTATACCTATACCTATACCTCCTACTCGGACTTACAAGTTAGAGGCTGACATGGACGTTTGTCCCTTGCCAGCCAACTACGGTTTAAACGATATGAAGGCGCTAACCATTGTTTACATTTTTTTAAATTGTTGAACGGATGTTTGTCTGCCTTATTCAAATCGCCTTTAACACCACACCATAAATTAATAAATAGATAAATAAATAAATAAATAAATACTAAAAATGTGAACTATCGCGCGAACACAGCACATCCTCCTTGTGCACGCGACTACTGCTTGAAAATCAAGATGGCTTCTCACAGTGCAATGCTCTCGATGTCCAAATTAATTTCTCCTTTTTGGGGTGGACGCCTTGGAAATACGGTGAAAGTAAGACGAGATCTGATGCCTTTGTCGTATCGGTTGTGAGCACTGTTGTGTGGCTGCAAATGAAAGTCGTTAATTGTATTTGAACACAAGGTCATGGGGTTGATATCATACAGCTGAATTAGCAAGATGTCAGATTTCATCTGTGTTTTCCCTTTCCTTAACCTGACCCAAAATCTATCCTAACCCAGACCCGTTATCCTTGCCTGCCTTTGAATCTAATATCAACCTAATCCATCTCTTCAATTTTCATTTCAGGTATTTGGAACAACTCTGACAAGTCACAGAAATAAGACCTTGCTTACTGTGAGTAAATCAGTGTGTGTGGGGTTCAGTCTTGTTAGAATGAGTAGATGGGATTTTTTTGTGAAGTTGTCACTCCTGAACACTGAATTATTAAGTAATGATACTGAAGCCATAAAAAAATAACTGCTACTCATTCATTTATTTATTAATTTCCAAGCTATATGGTTGTGGGTTAAACTTTGGAAGTGGTTGGGTGCTTATTGTATCTGTTTTACTGTAACATGGGAGTGTTATATATCTGTTTTTCCACCCTCTTTGGGGAGAAGTGATCGTAATGCCTCTGTATCTGCTACTATTTGGATTTAACATGTTCTTTTACGCATTTGTCAAACTGACGCTTGTTCTTCTGCTTTCCTTGCTGTCCATCTTCAACAACAGGGAGAAAACATTGTAAGTAGCTAATTGTGACCTGGGTGTCTAGATTACACTGTTATCTAATGAACCACATGCCTTCACATACAGTGCAATAAACAACATATATGTACCTTGATTGTACTAGTGCTGGGTTACATTATCACAATAATCAGAGGAATTACTTTTAAAACAGTGATGGTGTAAAAGTTTAGGCTCTAAAAGTAAATTGAGATTGCTTTCAAAAACAATGCAATTAATATCTTTTATTTATTAACTAACTGCATACAAATTGAAGTAAGCAGAAAATAACTAAATCAAACTTTAAAATAACAAGTTCTTGGCTCACTTGTGCAGAGTTTGTAGACTCTGTGGATTTAGTCTGTCTCAGTGTCTTCTGTCTGTCTCTTCATGTAATCCCAAACGGACTCCTTGATGTTGAGTTCAGGGCTCTGTGGCAGCCGTACCTTGTTGCAGGACTCTTTGTTCTTCTTGTTGCTGAAGATAGTTCTTTTAGACAATAGCTGTATGTTTTGGGTTATTGGCATGCTGCAGACTAAATTTGCGGCAAATCAGACGTCTCCGTGAAGCTTTTGAGTGATGGATAAGAATCTAAACATTGAAAGTGCCCAAAACCTTTGCACTGTACTGTGCATCACAACCATATCAAAAATAATGGGTATATCTAGCTGACCTATTCCATTGTAATTTTAGGTTAAAAGCAAAATTGTTATTAATTCAAATGTTTAAAAATCCTATAATAGTGATATATTATCCAGCCCTAAATAACACTAATACAATCACTGTCATGATTCCCTACCAGCCAGTATTTTCTTTTCATTCAATCACAGTATAAAAAACAACTTTCACGTGTATGAAAATTGCTTGAAATGGCCATACCACCAGTTACTCCAGGTTATTTATCTTTTTTTTTTTCAAAATTGCATTTTTATTAAGTGGTTATGTGGAGACATATAGAGGCCATTTTCATATCTCTTTCTTGACAGTTATTTTTTAATACAAAATACTTTATTTGGCAGCACAATCAAAATTTGAATGTCTGAGTAGCTGTAAAAGCACCATAAACCAAGTTCATGATTTTCATCATGTGACAAAAATGGAAAAAAATGGATCTGACAAAAAATAGATGAAGAAAAGCAACAAAATTCTAACTGTGATGGATGACCCACTGAAGACTGTCTCCATAAGGTGGTTTTCATATTGTGGTATTCATTTGGTACATTAGACCTAAAACACATGGTAATATATCAGCAATATGTATTTAGGTGATTTGTACTTGTTGAGCTAAAATTTGTAAAACCACCAGTGCCTTTGCTTAAGTTCATGTGTAAAATGCCAATATTACAGCCCCCTCCTGCAAAGTATGGAGGCAGACACACTGTTACCCTCATACCTGGAGACGGAATTGGTCCAGAGCTGCTCAATCATGTCAGAGAGGTTTTCAGGTTGGTTAGACTTACACTAAATCTCGTTCATAAGCGTTGACCACAGACAGGCGAGGACTGCTTCATCATGTGGTTTGTCATCACGCTGGTAGGTTCAGCTGTGTGCCAGTGGACTTTGAGGTGGTGAATGTCAACTCTGCTGTGGAGACAGAGGATGATATCAATAATGCCATCACTGCCATCCGCCGTAATGGAGTTGCCCTCAAAGGTAGGAGCATGAATATACGAAAAGCAGAGCGCACCTGTGAGAAGCAAGTTGTTTACAATAAGACCATGACATGAATTTAACTGTGACATTGCTTAACTCTCCTGATAGGTAACATAGAAACCAAACATACCATGCCGCCATCTGTCAAATCCAGAAATAATCTCCTGCGGTAAGAATTATAATGAAATATTTAGTTCCCTTGATAAAGGCTTTCTTTTGTCAGTTGAAGTTTCCTGCATATTTTGGTTGTGTTAGTTGACCCATTGTTTTTCCTCTTTCTCCCCCTCTCTTGTTCTGTGTGTGCCAACAGCACAAGCTTAGACCTGTATGCCAATGTGATGCACTGCCAGTCCCTCCCCGGCGTCCAGACTCGCCACAAGAACATTGACATCATGATCATCAGGGAGAACACAGAGGGAGAATACAGCAGTCTGGAGCACGAGGTCAGCCCGAACACAAACATAAGCAATTCTACTGTCTGCTGAAACGTACGCTTGTATTCCCTCTTTTAAAGACCTCTTTTCTCCCTCTACTAGCTCTCTTTTGAAATGGGAGTTAGATAGTGTCCACACACTATTAAAAATGCAGCATTTATTTACCAAGTGAAAAACATTGGCCAGAATTAAGTCATGCGCAGATCTGATATACTTGATCATTATTGGCACCAATACTGCTCTTGTTAAACAGATTAGTATTGACTAGATGTGCCCAATCCACATTATATACTTTTTCTTAATTATCGGAAACATGAAACAATGAGTACATTTTCTAAACTTTTAGAACAAAATTTGCACAAGCCTTAATTGAATGTTGGTGTGTGGACTAGGTCTGGATTTCGGCGCTGATCTCCTGATTCGATTTCAATTCACAAAGTCGAGAATCGGTTCGATTCAATTTGAGTCTCGATGAATCAGTTCCGTGAGATAAATCCGAATGTTGTGTAAAGCATTTCTCATAAATTATCCTGGGAACATCAAACTAACTTATTGTCCTCTGCATTCAACTAACCGTGTGTAAAGTTCACGTTATCAGCATAGGATTTATTTTCCTTGATAAACCAACATGAATTAAAACATGCTCTCTATATTTTTTTAGGCCTACATTTGCAAAACAGTTGAGCAAAAATAATAAAACACCCACATCACTTACAAGGGCGCCATCATAATGCATATTTAAAAAAAGAAAAAAAAAAAAAAGAAAGAAGCTATCCCATACAGCTACACATGGACTGTCAGTAGCAGATGATTCAGCTAAGTACAGCAAGTCCACATTAATCATCACTTTGAGTGCAGACAGGGCTGAAACTGTAAGTCTGCTCACTAATTCATCTGCAATGTCTGTGTTTTCAAGACACTTTGTTTTTTAGTCTGTCCCTCTCATAGATGTGATCTCTAGATTTGCTTGGAGAGCCAGTGTCAGATCACAATCGGGGTCACAACAGTCAGGGAAACTGGGGGGGGGGTCTGCAAAGACTACTGTTATTCACGTCACAGTTTTAACAGTCATGACTCAAGACAGCTCATGTTGTCAGTTATCTTCTACATTAATCTTTAGCTTAAAATAACCTTATTGTGCACGTTGTAATAAAACACACCACGCAGCCCTAACTGAACTGAACTGAACTGAACTGAACTGAACTGAATTGAACTGAATTGAACTGAATTGAACTGAACTGAACTGAACTGAACTGAACTGAACTTACTTGCTATATAGTTAAGAACTGATTTGTACTGTTTAGAATCAAAGACCATGGACTTTGTATGATTTCTATATTCACTTTGGTCTTTCTAGTCTAGTTTCGTTTCTTGTAGTGTTCAGTACTTGAACCTTTGTCATTTATTTGTTATTGTCCTCACTGTCTTCTTTTAGAGTGTATCAGGGGTAGTGGAAAGCCTTAAGATCATCACCAGGAACAATTCCCTCAGGATCGCTGACTATGCCTTCCGACTGGCCAGGGAGAAAGGTCGCCGTAGGGTCACGGCCGTACACAAGGCCAACATCATGTAAGTAATTCTGTGGCTACTGCGTCCTACAGGAGCTGTCTGGCCTCCTGAGTCTGACATCATATCGCAAGTTTGTTAGTGATGCAGATGTTGATTGTGACCTTTCTGCTCCCTGCAGGAAGCTCGGTGATGGCTTGTTCCTGCAGTGTTGCAGAGAAGTGGCCTCTGGCTACCCAGACATCACATTTGACAGCATGATTGTGGACAACACCACTATGCAGGTGATAGTTGATAGCATTTTAATGCATTCAAGGAAAGTTTGTCAGTGCAGCTAAAACTCAATTATTGACCTGCCACTGTGTTTGTTTGTGTTTTTAGCTGGTGTCCAAGCCCCATCAGTTTGATGTGATGGTGATGCCCAATCTGTATGGGAACGTGGTGAGCAATGTGTGTGCAGGCCTGGTGGGAGGGCCTGGCCTTGTGCCTGGAGCCAATTATGGTCGTGACTATGCTGTCTTTGAAACGGTGAGTGTTTGGCAGTTCTTGGTTAGAAGGCCACTGTCTCCTCTGTTTTTGAAGGATAAAAAATGTATGAATCGTGTCTTTCTGATATATTATAACTCAGAGTTTCATCTCTTTCTTGTCCTACTTTTCTGCATTTTTCAGGCCACAAGGAATACAGGGAAAAGCATTGCAGACAGGAACATTGCAAACCCCACTGCCATGCTGCTAGCCAGCTGCATGATGCTGGACCACCTTAAGTAAGCTTTCCCAGATCAAATACTTTCAGCACATTCCTTCCTGTGGTTTCGTCTGTAATGTTTTGACTGTGCTATACTAGTGATGTAAGTAATGCTCCTGTCTGTCTCCAGGCTTTATGATCATGCAAGTTCCATCCGGAACGCAATCCTCACCACCATGAATGAAACCAGGGTAAGTTTTCCATCACTGGTTGGGCCTTACCCTCATTTGTGTCACTGCTATGTCTAGGCTCAGAGGCGCTGGTGGCAGATGTGGCATGTTTACCAGAGGACATCACATTACATTTGACACAAAGCAACATTCAAAAAAAAATGTCATTTAAAAGACACAAAGCACCCATACAAATACAAACTGTGGCAGGAGACTCACTCCAAAGTGCTAAATTTTAATGGCATATGGTAATGTGTTAACTTTTTCTCTCTCGCAGTTGCACACAGCTGATATCGGTGGTCAGGGCACCACGTCAGAGGTGGTCCAGTCCATCATGAGATTCATCCAGAGTAAAGGGCAGCTCACATCAGAGCTCTAAACCACCCCTGAGGCCGCCATGCACGCACACACACACACACACACACACACACACACACACATACACACACACACACACACACAAACTCATCAGAGGTGTGAGTTTGAACTGTATGTGGAACAGGTGTACAGTATGAGAGAAGGATGTCCATGCATGTCTGTTTCCATAGCGTCTGGTCTTTATCGCTGACATCACAATGGTTCCTGTTTTTTCTTGTTCACAGAGCTTACTGATAATGTTCACTGTACAAACGACCTTTTATCAACACCTGTGTGTTTCACATATAATAATGACCTGCACTGGACTGTTGTTAAAATGGTTTACCTTTGATAAAATTTAATTATCACTCCTATTAGATGATAAATCCTACAATAAGAATAGATTATATTTCCTTAGTTCATCAGGTTCATTCAGCTGAAAATCTATGTTCTAACAAATAGTTATGAAACACACAGTATCAATCACCAAACACACGATAGGCTCAGAAATATCTTAGCATGAGCATACACTATGTACCCTGTCTTTGTACAAACTCATCTTATACCCATTCACTGTGGATCGTTATTTATTTTACAACTTAAGATAATGTTACAGCTTCTTTCAGTTGACCAAAATGTACAATGTTCATTTCACGCCTTAACATTTCCTTTTGTCATTTTGTCAAATTGCATATTATATTCTGAACTGTCCTGTATATTCATATTATGTAGCGTTTTCATTTATACTGTATCATCAGAGAAGGTGAACATCAAGTAACTGCTGTCAAAGCTGAACTGTTATGCTCGTGCCATAATACCTAAGTGTGGATCATGTCACAGGGCATATATCCCTGTTGTCTTAGAAGCTAACCTGGCAAGAGCGCTTAAAGTATGATATGAAAAGACGGGTTTACCATGTCTGGGGTGGGCAGTATATGCTGTATAACTTAAATATTATCAATAAAGACATAATCTCAAGTTGATCTTTTTGGACAGAAGTTTGGATTTGAAACATTTCTCAATTGAGTTTTAAAGCTTAAGTAAATAAATTTTCAAGCTATGAATACACTTGGGTGCACCTAACTAAAACTAATACAGTCTAACACGGGAGTCCTGCAATAAATTCTACCTCATGAAGGTTTTAATGTTCAGTTTTCATTGAAACTTTCAGAGGTGTTGATTTAACGGTGTGGTTATTTTGGAGGCTGCAGTTTGTGCTTTTGTTGAATTGTACTGTTACGCTGACAGGTGTTTCTGTTATTTTGTCCACCCCAGTTGTATCGTTGAGGGTAGTCTAAATAATAGAAAAACCTTCGGTATAAAGCCACATGGATCAACAGCATCACTAACTACATCCTCTAAAATGATAATGAAGTTGAATCAACATCTCTTTAAAACGGTCTCAACAAAAACGGAACATTAGGTAGGATTCATTGTTAGGACTCTTGTATTAGACTTCATTAGTTTTAGCTAGGTGTACCTAAACTGCCAACTTAGTGTATGTATGTATATCGTAAATCAGGAACTTCTTATTGCTAAGATCATTTAAAATAAGTCTCAATTCTTTGGCTCTGCTTCAAAGAAAAGAAGCTCTTGTCTGACCTCCTGCTGGGGATAAGGATTATTTTTGGTCCAAATAAGAAAAAGCTCACTGATCCTTCCGTTTGTTTTACAATTTCACGCCTCATCAGCATCTTACAAGGTTGGATGATAAGCTGCTGTTTCTCATTTCATCACTAGGTGGCAACACCACTCACTGGAGCTCCCAATCGCTAACTTGGAGCAAAAAGTGCACAGCTGTTTGCATGTGTGCTCAGATATGTACACCGTCTGACAAGGACAAAATGCAGAATGTATGTAGCCGCTCTGGATCACTATATATTCATGTTGCTACTGCACTGACTGCACCGTGAAGAAGCTGCAGAGACACTGGCGATGTAGGAATCTATGACAGCCATATTGTTCCACATAACTGGGGACATCAAGAAAATTCTTGTTTTTTTCATGTGATTTCTAGGAATCAAGCTCTTGGCTTCAATGTGTGTGTTTCTAAGACAAATGAGAAGGATTCTGGCTTTCCACTCAAATTATCCCTATTTACCATAAAACCAAAACATTTTTTAATTATTTTTTTTTTCTAGTGTTTTTTTTTGTTGTTGTTTGTTTTAGAGACTCTGATCACACAGTCATATTGACAAAAAGTGCCCTGGTCCCATGAGCCAGGAGACGCAGGAGGAGGAGCAGCAGATAGATGTTATTATGGCACATCATTCAGCAGTGACCTCCTGTTCACATATACTGTACAAACAATCCCAGTCCGCCTCTCTTTCGCCAATAGGGTCCGCGGTCATAGGGGCACATCCCATTGTAATGGAAATGGCCAATTTATCATGTGTCCAGTTCTGTGGGAAAGTTACTGACTGTTCCATCTGTTTGAACATTTGCATATTGAGGAGAGAAATCCTCTGTGAACAGACCCCTTCTTTTTTTAGATGTAGTTGTCCTAGGGAATCAACAATCATACACTCCGTAGTGTGTGAAATGTGCAGGGAATTACTACATGTGTATCTTGGCCTCTGCCAATTGGCAGTTTTTAAACCTTTCTACTCCCTCTCCATTCATGTCAGTTATTCACTCTGCAGAGACAGCGAGCTGGCTGGTAAATGTCTTCGCTGGATTTCATTTAGAATCAGTCGTTTTTGTGATACTTTATGTAAGAGGTTCCTCACTCCGGGCCAGCTTTTTCTCATCATCGAACTCCACTCGGGCTGTTACCTCACTGTACCTCACATCACTGTAGATGGAGCCATAAACCCCCCACCCCACCCCCCGACACCCCTTCACTCTTGCCCCCCCCCCCCACGAGCCTCTGCTGGAGCTGTGCCATGAGGCAGATGGTCAGACGTTTGTGGTGAGAGAGAGGGAGATGTTGCAACAAACCGCTGGCCACTTGACCTCTATGGGCCACCATTCACTCCCTGTATAAACTTGTGAAGGGGCCCAGCCCGCTATGCATTTTTTTTTTTTGACTGCAAGAGCTGCCTTTAAAGGATCTGTTCACTTAAAATAAAATAAAAAATGAGGTTTGAGCTGCCATCCCAGTACAAAGTGGGTGAGTGGAATCATGTTTGTGGTTCTCTCAGCACTGAAAAATTACATTTGGAAAATTCGTCACGTGCTTGTCATTTCAGTAATCCAGTGTCTCTGAGTAAATATAGATTCTGTCTCTGAAAAAAGATGTTGCTGTCAAACATAATGTAATTGTTTGATACTGCGAGCATCACAAACTAAATTTTACTCATCTCTGTCGCAGCGGGGTGGAGGCGGACGCACAGATCTCAAACCTTTGCTGGACATATTAAACCCAAACCCTCTGCATGGTAAGGCACCACTGGATATAACTGATTTCGAAAATGAGCACACTTGACTGATCAGGTTGATGAAGGGAGACTCTGTGAGAGACTTTTGTGATATCATGTCGACTCATACAGACGTGCCATGTTTGTAGCACTCACCAAGAACCAGCCCTTTTTTTTTTGTTCTTTTTTTTTTTGCTCTATTAATGTCTCTTGCAAACACCACCTTTAATATTTTTCTTCTGCCTTTTCTACGACATGCTAATCTGTGAGATTTGTGTCTAACCACAAGATATGATATGAAAACTGCTTTTTTTATTGGTCATAATTCTGCTCTAAGTTGCTCCTGATGATTTCCAGAGTCCTCCCTTCTCATTCTTTCTCTCTCTGCCACTATTTCACACACACACACACACACAAAATTAGTGCAGTGTAATCCAAGATCTAACAGGTCATTTCCATTACTTATGAACATGCTCCTCTCTCCTATGCTGATCAGCTCTGCTATGCTACGCAGTGCAGGTGATTGTAATCAATCAACTTCCCTCTGATCAGTCTCTGCCGAGCACAGCTGCATCCAGTCAGCCAGCTCTCCTCTCTGTTAATGGGGCTTTTTCCCCCCACAGCTATGGCTTAGCTACATTAAGCTACGTCAACGGTCAACAATTCTCCATTACTTGGGCCTGGATGTGTGTGTTTTGGGCTCTCTGTATGTCCTCTTGCCTTTCTCTTCACAGGGACTTCCAGTGTCTTCCTCAGCAGTGACAGACCTAATCAGAGAAGAATTATGAACGAGTAGTTGGGAGAAGTTACTGATGAAGTTTGTTTGGCAGAAAAGGATGTAGAAAGGAGGTGAAAGAGAATGCATGCAGGGGAATGGCAGTGGAGAGAGTTGTGTGGACGTGGCTGGAGGACAAGGGGGACAGCCAGGGTAACGGGCTTATCAATGGCGGGAAGGATGGCAACGGTCTGGTTGAGAGTGAGAGAAAGAACAGTATGATAGGTGATATATTTTCACAACCGGGGGCTTCACGGCAAAGTTAGCTGCTGAAGCGCTTCATCACCACCTTATCTTTCAAAAATGAAAGCAGCCAATAAAACATCAGACTCTTGGCTGCCTCTTTATCAGGAGCTGCACAATTTATTTTGTTTTATTTTATTTTTTTTACAGGGTTGTTTTTAACACCAGTGGGATACCACCGAGTGAGATCATAAAATGCTTATCTGACACTTTAGTGGTCCCATCAGAAAATGTCTGCTTTTCCATATTCTGTTCTGGTTGCTCAACTATTCCTAATTGAGGAGTCATTGCTGGTCCACCTGCAGAGCAGAGTCCTTCAACTTCTGCTGTTGCACCATCTTGCGCAAGGACTCATCCGGTGAGAATGTGCAGGCCAACGTGGTGCTTGAACCTGGGTCATGCAGTCAGACAGGCTCTCTGACCTGATTAATCAGGCCACCCCAATACCGCTTCAAGCCCCCCGTACATACCAGGGGCTCCCCACTCTGAGCTCATACTCAAAACATAGTTGCTTAGTTGAAAAGAAACATACACGCTTGTTGTATGTGACTTCAGCTCAACTTGTGCCTTGTAAAAGAAATGTGTAAGTCCATAGTGCTTTCTATTCTATCCCCATGGGAGGAAATGTGAAGCTTCAGGCATAGCTAATTGTGGAAGTGCATGTACATGCTGGTAAGAATATGATTTATATGTATGTATATGTCCTATATAATTTTGCAAATCTTTATATGCTTTTACTGCAGCCAAGACAGAGAAACTGATTCCACCTGTGCTGCAGGAGCGAGCCCTTTCCACGGCCCTGCCCCGGTATTCTGCACTGTCAGTGGTCCAGTGTGGTTAAATGTTGCATGGGAGGGGGGGATTGGCGTGTGTGTGGGGTGCTTTATTGCATTGTGTCTAAATAGGAACCTGTCTGTCTTGCTCACTTTCCCTCAACTACCTCACGCAGTTTTTTTCCCCCTCTTCTCGGCACTGAAAGCCTCTTGGCAGAGTGAGAGTGAGGGGAGCCTGTGAGCTATTTCTGTTTGGTTTTATGTTTATGATATATTAGTGGGCTTGTGCTGTGAGCTGGGTTTTCTGAGAACGTTGATATGTGTCTCTCATCAGAGGGAAACAGTTGGGATCACTGCAGCACTTTGGCCATATTTACACTGGAGAGAAAGGAGGGGGAGAAGGAGACATAAAAGCAGTGATTGACTGGCTATTGACATGCTTTATTTTCCATCTGAAACCTGTCTTCCATTCTTGCCAATATTTCTCCTGCACCCTCCCTCTCTGGTTTTCAGTCTTTCGTACTCTCTCTCCCTTTTGATCTCTATATTTCTAAAGCTATTCAGTGTTTCACTGTCTGTGCCCTTGCAATGAGTTCAGGGAGTACTTCCAGAGTTACATTACATCAAGGCAAGCATGCTGCGCTCATGACAACCTGCATTACACTGCCCTGATGTCATTACAACTCTGCTCCCCTGAAATTGGAGCATCTTGGCACTTTGACAACTCAGCAACCCCCCACTTTCCAGCTCTGTGTTCACCAGTTTAAAAACAGTGTGTTCTCTTGGTTGCCAAAACAAAGAATATTTCCCAGCGACACTCACTTAGTTTAATC